TGAAGCTGTTAAAGCCGACTGACAGCTGATCAGCTGTGATCAGAAACAACGTCACTTCATGTGACACTTCAGAGGAAAGGACATCTCATTTCTCTAAAAACATATTTCCTCGTTTCTTCTCTCATTGCATGGTTTGGCAAGGAAAAGATGCAACTGAGAGATAAGTGAATGCAATTAAGAGATATGAGATGTATGTATGTATGTATGCAAGTGTCGAAGAGCAACATGTGGGAGGGGTTTTTAAGCCAAAAAAATAAAGGGAGAAATAAATAAGGAGACAAAATGAACATCTTTTTGATGTCTAAATAACTACATTCTGGATTGCATTTTGTAGCCTTTTTTTCTAACTATGTCACTACTTGCAATAAAGAAAAACTTGCAACAAAATCAGCTTGCAAATGCTGTGGCTCTCCCAGTTACACTGCTGAGGTAATTCTTTGTTCATTTGCTACAGCTGTTGTTTTAAGATGTCCTCTAAATACCCTACCTGGGTTTATGTCGGGTTCCTCTTTAGTTTTTTTCAAGCAGTAACCACCATGACTTCTTTCTGAGGTTAACGCCAGAGTGCATTTTCATAAAGCCTGTCAGATATTAAGGTGTGACTGATCCTCAGCTCTCTGATTTGTTCTGTAGGCACCAGGTACATGAGAAGGAGGAGTTTAAAGCCTTAAAGACCCTCAACATCTTCTACCAGGCAGGAACCTCTAAAACCGGCAACCCAGTGTTCTACTACGTGGCCCGAAGGTAGGACCTCTTCTGAAACACAAACACATTACTGTAAATTGTGATTTAGACATTGTGTAAAAAATATGGTAGGGGTGGTATGGTTGTGGTAGTGCATAAGGTATGTCTAATGTCTGCCTCTTCCTATGTGAACTTGACAAAAAAATATTCAATATAATATTGTTCAACAGAGCATCAGAACCTACTATAGAACTGAGTCAAACCACAAACGGCTACATTTGTTCATTCTGGACATGGAAATTATAACAATCCCAACTCAGTAGCGTTTTTCAGACATTTCAACTAGGGATGTCCCAATCAAGTTTTTGCTCCCATCCCAGTCCAAGTCTTTGTCTCATACTGAGTCCAAATTGAGACTTTATTTAAATTTATTTTTGTAAATTTGTATCTGGCACATTGAAATAACAACTATAGCTACTAAATCTGACACTCTTTATTTCTCTTGAGCTACTTGATTAGGAATGGGAATTGGTGAGATTTTATTGATGCAATACCATTAAGTTTTTTACTTGACAAATGTTCTTTGGCTGAGTACAGACAAACAGACTGACAACAGGATTACACTACCAACTACATTTTAAACAACCCTCCCAGCCCTGATCAGCGGCAGCTAAAAGCTTTGCTAATAAGACAGAGAAAGGAGAGATGAGACTTGTTAGCATTGGGAGGTTAGCGGATCTGTGAATTTTGCCAACCACTGTCTGGACTCACCATTGCACCAAAATAATTTTTCACATTAATGCACTAATGCAATGTTTGAAGGAAATAGAAAACACTCAAAAACACTGTTTTGTATTTTTCCATATGTTCCTATTTACCTGCAAGTCTGCCTTCAAAAACATTTGCTCTCCAAGCTGTAGTGCCTTTCTGTTAGACATGCTTTATTGGAAAGAACACAGGGAAAGGAAATAGAGCTGAAAGTGTGACAGTGGCAGACAATAGAGTGTAGTAAAGACAGGGTGGACATTTTTTTTTTTGCTGCGTTTTAGCAAACCAGTCCATTAAAATATGCCTAGATAGTGATCCATCTCTACTTTCAAACATATCACACAGTCTTCATCAGCAAGGAAACGCATACATCTGTTGATGTCAATAGATGTCAGCTGCTTGTCACCTTAGCTGTGTTTAACTGTAAAAGCTGTCTGGTGGACCTTGAGTTGGGATCTTCACTGTATATTTGTAGTTTCAACAAAAAACACATTGCATCACATCATACACTTGTGCTAATGTGTTTTTTTTCTTTATCATTGCAGAAAGAAAGTACTGTATGTGTCTTTGATTAACTTTTGCTAGCTGTACCAGTTCTGTGATCTGTATAACTCTGTTATACACTGTGGTGAATCATACCCTGTGGCGCAGTATGTGAAATTTCCAGGATGTTGACACACCTATCAACAGTGGTTGCAATAACCACCCAACAGTTTCCGTTTCAAGCAGATAACAACCTTCAGATTGATGTGAGAATTACTGCTGTGCTACATCCCATACCCTCGGTGTCAACTCTGCTTATTCATAAATCTAGCCCTCTACCAAAGCAGAATCACTGACAGCCTGTGTAATGGCTAAAATTCCCACTAAACAAAGCAGGGAAATGTATTGGTCTTGTGTTAATTACCACTGATGTTAGTTCTTGTATTGTTTTCTGTTTGGGTATTTACTGCGCAGACACCTTTTGTTCTGTCAGTGTTCAGCAACAAAGATGCAGACAAGTGCGCCCAGGAAGGCTGTGATAAGAGCTCGGAGAAAGAACCCTTCTAAAAGCCATGTCATCTGGCTGATTGACATTCTTAGAACTACAGTACATATTCATTTCATCATGGTGAACTAGTATTTTGGATCTTTTTATTATTACTTACTTACTAATCAATTACTAATCAGTCAAATGACCAAATGTAAACCTACAGTATGATTTTATTAAATATTTTTATTTGCATTAATGTTTAACTGGATCTCAGCTATGTCAACAGTCTATCTGGAATTCTGCAGGATGATTTGAAATAGTAGAATAGTTCCATGTGGCCATTCAGATTCCTAATTTAAGGCTTATTTTCACCATACTGACAGATCTAGATATGCTTTTAACTCAGCATCCATAATGTCCACCACTGACTTCCCGCTGCCTCTTTTTTTTGTGTTTGGAGGGAAAACCCCATACTCCATGTTTGTCCCAAGGTTGCCAACTATTCTAAAGGATGATTATTTGAATCATCAGAGAAGAAGCACCCCAAGAAGAGGTTTTACAAACATAGTCTTGCATACCTGTCAAGCTAAATGTGTAGTGATGTGTAGAAAAGTAGGCTATGTGCAGCCCTGCCCTCTTTTCTTTTTCTTTCTTCTTTTTTTTGGCTGGTGCGTCTAAGGTCTATCATACAACTCCTAATCCAGACCAGATCACTTCCTTTACTGCTGTCCAGTGTAGTAGTCACTGCAACTAATAGTGAAGCCAGGAGCCATGCAGGATCTTTATCATGATTTGTCAGATAGGATACTGGAATGATGAATATATTGTCAGCCCTCCTTTGAGTGGACTGTTTAATGGCCTTATAGTATAATAAAGCAGCACCAACATTACAAAACACAGTCACAACTGTATATGACAGAAAATGAAAGAATTTGATCTAATAATAACTTTGACTGGAGTATCTTTGCCAAGAATACAAAACAGTTATTGTCTTTGTTGAAATTTTGATGGGCCGTCCAACTGTCTTTTCAGTGTGATTGTTTGATTCTTGTGCTTGGTTTATTTTGTTGCATCAAAGACTATTTGATATCATGTAATTCATACAATTTCTATTATTTCTTATTGTTTCCACTGCAGACAGGAACAACTATAACTATTCTATGAATTTCTTTTTTCTTTTAATCCTTTCATTAAATTAGCCCTTTATTGGTAACTTTTTTCCTATTTTGTTGTATAGACATTTTTAGGCTCCTCACCACTAGGGTGCCCATATCTCAGTAGGTAGTCTTCTAAATGCAGGGTTGGTGGTTCATGGTTCCCCCGGCTGTGTCCATGTGTCAGAATTGTTGCCTGGCTGCCCACAGCTTCCCATGGCTCTTAATGTACAGGATGGGTAAAATACAGAAGAAAAAAAATAGTTTCAGTGTATGTAAATGATGAGAAATGACACTTAAGGCTGTGGACCTACTAATACTTGCGCACCTAGTTTTGAACCATTAGGATCATTACAACCAAAAATATATTTGTTCAGAACCCAAAAGTAGCAGGTTTTCCTTGGGAACCAAGGTGGGCATGTCATATTCTCCCTCTGTTGATGATGCATCCTTGATTACAATGGTTCAGCTCAAAACGTGGGCTGGTTCACTAGATAGCACCAAGGTTCCAACAATCTTGAACCGAAGCAGTTCAAGAACCACAGGTGGTGGGAAAACACTAAGAGGAAGCCAGGTGTGCCACTGGGGGCTATGGAATGTTATGCAATGTATATTGTCAATCCTCAGTAGCACAAGCATCACCATTATGAACAGAAGCGCAGAGAACATAGCAGTCTGTCAATGTGCAAGCATTATACTGAGAGTTGGGCATTGATATTAGCACTCCACATATTCAGATATTTTGAGTTTCTGTGTTGTAGGTTTATACAGTTCATAATTGTGTACAGGATTGTGAGAGACATGTTGTACATGTTGAGCTAGTTGAAAGATGATTGTGACTGAAGGTAGTAACAGTCGCAACAGTTTTTAGGGAAATGAAAATGGAGGCGTTAAGTGGAGTTAGTTGGTCATATATTCAATGTCCAAAATAATACAGTAAGTAGTGTATTCTGGATCCAGTCAAGGTAGTTCAGAAAGTGTTGAATGCTGTCGTCACAAATAAAATAGTCAGGCTGACAGTTTGATGAGTCTCAAAGACGAGTCCCTGACCGTTATTCCGTGAATTAGCTACTTTGGGCTTCTTGGTTGAGGACCACAGGCTCTTTGTTGTGCTTGTGTGTGTGGAGAAACTATCAAAAGTTGAGGAAGATGTCCAGACAAACACCATGTGGTCCCCGGATTCATTCACTCCTCTTTTATCCTGATATATTCCTGTCTCGAAAAGTGCAGATTTCACCTGGTAACTAGACGTGACCTCTGCAGTCCTTGCTGGTGATTGAACATCATGCCCTTCACCTCTGCTATTAACCCACAGTGGTGGTTCTGTGAATAGTGCAGAGTGCCACTCCCTCCCCGGTGTTGCCAGATGGGTTTGCCCACAGATGGGTCTTGTATAACAAGGGCAGCCTAAGATGGTTGCACGGGTCTGCTCAGCCCATCTAAGGAGCCGTGTTATGTTTTCTTCTTCTTCACAAGCCCAGGGGTTATCCCCAAGAGTCATCACCTCCAGCATCTTCAGCTTATCAAAGATCCCTTCAGGTAACCAGGAGAAGCGGTTAGCATGCAAATAGAACTGAGTCAGCCTCGGCAGCCGATCCAACGAACCAGGCAGGATCTGCATCAGATAGTTATGTGATAAATCGATGCTCTCCAAGTTGTGTGGCATGTTTGTGGGCACAGTCCAAAACCTGTTGTGGCTGAGGTTGAGAGCTTGGAGACTGGGCAGTGTGTTGTTGATGAAAACCACTCTCTCCAGCTCGTTGTCCGACAGGTCCAGTACTTTCAGGTTCCAGTGGTAAGCTGTGTCATTTTTGTCCAGCGAGCGTAGATGGTTCCCCGCCGCTCGAATGTCCCACAGAGACCGTGGCAAGGCAGGGGGCAGGCTCTCCAGGCGGTTGTAGGACAGGTCCAGGGTCCGTAGGTGGGCATAATGGCTGAGCTGGCTGTCCAGACCCTGCAAGCTGTAAAAGCATATAGTGAGAATTAAGAGATAATGAAAAATGCTAAATTGTATAACTGTAGAGAAGAGTTATAAAGTTAGCAAACTGACTCAGTTACACAGTGTTGCCCATGTTATGTTTGCTAACATTAGCCACCATAAGCTACTGCTTATACCTGACCAAGAAAGGCGTGACCAGTTATCATTATTTATGAGGTCAACTTGTCATATGTAAGATGGAGTTTTGTCAAGTCCAATAGATGCACTTGAAGTGCTTTCCCACTACAGTATATTTACTGTTACCACCCTGACACTTAACATTAAGGGCGTGAAAGCATTTTGTGAGATGATGAGCTGCTCTTGTCTCTCCAATTCAGTTTTGTGTTGGGCTCAGACAGATATCTTTAGCAGTGAGGGCCTGCATGCTGTACAAACAGCCCTGAAGATTTTGTTGGTACAGAGGTAAGAAATACTGGCCAAATATCTCTTCTTCTTAACCTTAACCCTTGCATCTTTCAGAAAAGAATAGCTTTAGTGGGACCTGCTTTAGGATTGTAGATCTAACTCTGTACCTTTTGTCACCTCTCACGTGCACAGAAATCCAGTAATTGTCAGAGTGTGCCTCCTGTAGCTGCTTACCTATTAAAAGAGAGGTTGAGAAAGCGGATGTTGTGCTGCAGACCAGGGGGTAGCTTGGTTAGGCCTCGTGAGGAGCAGTCCACCACACGGTGTCCCCGGCTGCAGGAGCACACAGAGGGGCAGATGGACAGCACCCAACCTCCAAGGAGCCCACAGAGCAGCAATAGAAGCAGGCAGAGCAGAGAGGCAGAGCAGGCAGGCATGGTCAGGGCTCTAGAAAATGAAAAAAAAAAGTCAAACAGAAAGTATGCAAAATCATTTCACACCATTTTATGTAATGGATTAGATCTTCTGTCTATTATGGTAACACCAACGAATAGTTTGGTCCATTCAAATTCTGACCTGTTTTTGGTGTATAGAGTTACATTTTGATCCGATTTCTTGTATGTATTCCATTGTTTTTCAATAGCCCAGATAATCCTCTGGTGTGCTGGCTTCGGAATTGTTTCAGCGAAGTTATAAGTATTCTCCATCAATGTTATTGCCTAGCCATCTGTAACACTGCAACAACACTGAAATGCATGTTCTAGTTTAAAGTTTAAAACTTGCATTGCTTTAGACATATATTTATTTATATCACAGCCCAGTGTCCATGCCGTGATATATAACATAGCTTCAAAAAATAAGATCAATTCAGTGACACAAGTTATCCACTTATCCGATGAAATATCTCAACATGTACTTGATGCACATAATCTGGTGAATAGATTCACAGTTCTCAGATGGAGAATCCTAATGACTTGTCCTGATACTTCAGTTTAATTTCAAATACCTGAAAAAAGTGACATTTTCTCTTCCCTGTTGAGAGTATTAGAACGCTGGTTTTAGCGTTTTTGATTTTAGCTCAGCTTCACTAGACTCTACAACACTAGAGTGTTGTTGCAGTTGTATCAAGTGAGAAAAAAAAAATTAAAACCTGGTAAGGTTGCTTTTTCTAAAATCTGACTACAACACGTAGTTAGCTTTATGGTAGGCCAGCCCAAGGTTTTTCATGTTTTTACATTTTGTTTTTGAAGCTAAAATTAGGTCAGATTTTGTTTGTTATTTTGCGTGGACTTGTCTTTGGGAATCCTCAACTTTTTCAGCATTATTTTGGTATTGCACATGCTCAGATCAAATTCATGGTGCACTTCCACTATAAGCACCAGAGTCCTCACCAGACTCCAATTTACCCTACCTCTGGGACCGCTTGCAATCTCAATAATTAGTTTGACACTTCCTTTTTGACCGAAACTGAGGCTACAATCCTGCAGCAGCCGAGTTGTATGAATAACATGAACCTTGAGCTGTCATCACAATGTAATACCACTGATAGTATGTGCCACTGGATTTTGAACAGTTTGAGAACAATTTACTTTTGATGCATGTAAACTGCAGTACAAATGGATCGCAATCTGATTATTTTTAATGTCAACCACTTCAAACCTGTCAGGACCAGACCTGTTGTAAAGTGGGACAGATAGCTTAGCTTTCTGCTCTTGATGCATTTTATAAGGGTGCTAGTCATCCTGAGTGCCAGCCGGTTTGAAGCTCTGCCAGTGGGACTGGAGCTCAGAGTGCTGCAGTGAGACTCAGTTCATTCAGGACGATACACCAACTGTGCTTCCGCAACTGCAGATGTTCTGAGCTAAACACTGAAGGTCCATGTGTGTTTGTGTTTTCAAAGACAAGACTGTTGGACACCCTTGAAATGCGTTCCAGAAATTTCCTCGCCGTTGCGTTGTCCGGTTGATGGCAGTGGATGCTCTGCTGTGATTGTGTCTCACATCACTAAATTCCTCTGTGTGTTTGTTTAAACGCTATGCTATTACTTTTGTCAATGTCTCTGTGGAATACTAAAAGGTGAAATCTGCATAGAGACAGAGCAGGGAGTAGCACAGCCTCACACTGTAGTTTACTGCATTACCAGGATTCAGACTGAAATGGGTCACTGCCCTTCCCTTTATGTGTATATGGGTCATAGGCTTTTTCTTATTTTTTCATTTTAAAGCACTCACCTCATCCTTTCTAGTGTTGTTCTGTCATCTCTCCTTTTTCACTGTTGTCTCCTCCTCCAGCTCCAGCTGTGTGTTTTTCTTTTTCCCTTTGTGCTTTATCGGTTCTCTGCTGTTGGACGGTAGTGATTTCAAGCTTTTTTTCCTGGCTCTTGTGGATGTTGTGGCGTGCCACTAAACATGCTGCCTACAAGCACCGGCCCCTGTCCTGCTCACCACTCTGCAGGCTCCAGATGCAGCTGAATGTGTGGGGAGAGAGAGAAAGGGAGAGGGAGAGGGAGAGAGAGGGGAGAGAATTGCAGCAGCGAGTCGGCCCACTCTGCTGCTGATGAGGCAAGCAAGAGCTGTGTGTTGTCTGTTGTGTGTGGTGTGCTGACAACAGCTGCTTCAGCAGCGCCTCTCTCCTCTCTTCGCTCTCTCTCTCTCTCCTCTCTCTCTCTCTCTCTCTCTCTCTCTCTCTCTCTCTCTCTTCTTCTCTCCTTCTCTTCTTTCTCTCATGCACAAGGCATTGTTTATGCACGTTTATATTAACAATGGATAAATTGTCACTTGTATCATAGAACCCCACAGAGAATTACCACTATCTAGATTGGTCTACCTCTTGCAGAGCCTTTCCAGGCTTCCTTTGAGCTCATTTGCTTTTGGGTTTTACAGTTACATTGTTTCAGTGGTCTTGTCTTTCATTTTAGACTTGTTTCCAGCAGACAGCAGGAAGCTGGTTTTTAACAAAATGAGCTCCAGTATTACCTGATTAAGCGGCTATAACATCATACTTTTATCATTCAATGTACGAAAATGACATTTATGAAGACAATGTAAAAGTCTGTCTTTTGTTAAGTGATTGGAAATATAGAGAAATTAACTGGTAAAAGCTGCCAGCTACCTCGCTTTACCAAGCTTTATTTAGTAATTTCAGCTCATTGTTTAGCAGTCCGGCCCACAAACATTACTGTTTTGGCTCAGTCCCCCCAACCCGTCCCATAGCGGTTGATTGTCTCTCTAAAAACCCTCTGTAAACTATCTAATCCAAGCACAAATATCAGAGCACTAGTTGCTGATAACATAATGGAGCATTTAGCAGCTAAAATCAAATATTTTGCAACCAGACCGGAGGAGAAACGGAGAATGAATTTGGGCAATGAATATGAATATTAGTTGCTAATCTGCTGAATATATAAAACAGCAGGTCCATGGGTCTTTAGGCCTTAACCTGCATTACATTATGACTTTCCAGGTTCTAAAAAAATTAGATTGAATTAATGGAGTTAGTTAACGTTACTTACGAGTGACGCTTGTAAATCTGTTTTGCTGGGAAATGTGTTCTTAATATATCAGTGTTGTATTGAGTGTATATTTTATACACAAATCTGACGGATCTGTTTGTGTGTTCCGCCAATCTGTCGGTTTGCCGCCCAACTGGTGTCAGTCGTAGTGACTGCTTGTGACTGGCTACCTGCTGAGAGTGACAGTACATGGGTTAGTTGGACTTGAAAGTTAGGGTGGCTTCCAGTTACTGATGAGGGTACCTTATATGGATGAAGATCTTAGTGTTATTTAATTTTAAATTATTAGTGACATTTGTTAAGAAGCAGCCAGAAAATAGAGTAAAAAGGATGTGACCATCTGAAACATTCAACGTGATGTTACTGTGTAATACTAGACTGTGAGCTAGTTGCTTTATCAATCCAGAGAGTGACATCTTACGATTGTGTCACAGTTATATTAGTAAAAAAATGTAATTATCCTCCAATAAATACAATCCCAAGTCTCCGCATGAATAGTATGAAAAAGTGCAAACATATCGTGGACTGAAAAATGGTTTTGAAATGTGTCCCATATCTATTATTATGATTGACAAGATGTATGATAATGGCTTAGTAATGGTCCCATTTTTTATTGAAATGGTTTTACTGTTTAAGTATTAGGTGTTATGACATGAAATTAACTGTCGTGTGCTTGGGCGTGTGAGAAAAAAAGAGAGCAGAACAAATGAGCCGATGGCAGGGAATTGTTCTGTCTTGTGGTGTGTATCATTTATGTGTGGTCAATGGCCCCATGTAATAAGTGTGGTAAATGGCCATTAAATCTATGTTCATTCCCGCTGTGTTCACTTTCTATGTGTTTCTCTACCTGAATGCTCCTCTCCTCCTTTCTCATGCTCTGGACGTGTATTTCACACACGTCTTAAAAAAAAGTCACTTGCGGCACGCCTCCTCCCCTTTTTCTTTACCGCTGCTGATGCGCCTTTTTTTCGGCGGGCAACTTTTTCGTGTGGGAGCAATTATCTACCGGAAGGTGTGGGTAAAATTTTTAGACTAAGACCGTTATGAGGGCGGCGTTTGCGTTATGTGGAATTGCCGTGACCGTTCGTCTTTTCATCGTCGTTTCTCGTCGTTCGTCGGTTCTCGCGTACTTCCTATTTCCGAATTTTACCGGGAACGTTTGATTTTACGAATCCTACTATCCACGCCAGTCCCCGGCCCTATGCCTACCTCGATTGGTAAGCTAAAATGAGGTGAGGTGCAAAAGTCCAGGGCTGGCAGTTAGGGTTTTTAGGTTTTTTCACCATTTTCACGGAACAGGCGCATTTAACCATCCAAATGATTTCTAAACGGGTTTGATTAAGCTGGTTGCCAGGTTCCCCTTTAACAGATGGGCTACTGTCAGGCTGGTACATGTGGTTGTAAAATGACCAGCTGAGCTAAAATAGCAGTATATATAGCAATAACAATAAATACAATTGAAGTGAAGTAATTTACGTCTTCCTACGTCTACCTCAGGTTTTAGTACTTTTAATAGTTAAACTGATGCTTAGTTATCTATATTATGTACAGCTGTGGAATTATGTGGTGCGTGGTTTTTAATACAACATCAAAAACCACAACCACTCAGAGACATATGAAACCAATTCCACTAGGCCTATTTTTTAAAACAAACATAAAAAACAAATTAATGACATACAAATATACATTTACAGACATTTCAACAAAAGCTTCATGGTCAGGATTTGGTTGTAAAGGAAGAAGATGGCCAATACACCTAATTACGCTTCTCATGACTCAAAGTCTAGAAATAGCACTTAATGCAAATCCAATGTCACATCAAATATTTTTCACATCCATTGCCAAATTTTCCAACCAATGTAATCAAAGCTGGAGTAGGTAACTTTCATAGCAATGACTTTTTGTCTTTTTTGCTGAAACTTTCACTATACTGTACTGCAGCTTTAAGATCTGTTGCCAGTTTCTTTTTTCAGATATCACGAATTAAACATGGGCTGAAGGAGATTCTCATATTTCTACAGTATTTGTACAATCCACTTGTACCAGCTTTGCTGTTCCATACGTTTTAATTTTGTGTGGTACATTTCAGTGTGTTTTTTTTGTCGCCTTGTATGAGTAGTCCATTTCTGTTTACAATATAAATATTCTGGCAGTCAGCAGTAGGTGCAGCTGGGAACTGAAAAGTGCTGAGGATGGGGCACTGTGGCTAACAGTCTTGTAGCCAGTGGTTTCTGTATTATGATGGTCGTGCCCACACTTGCACTGGCACAGTAGAGGGGTAAAACTCTTGTAAGCAGACAGCATGTAATGCCATTTTTAAGCTTGTCACACAGGCCTCAAAGAACAGTGTACTAAGGTACTACTGCATTGGTCTTGTTTCACAGGCTTGGAAACTCCAACCACTATTTACTATACAGTCTATGATTATGATTGAATGATACGAAAGTCAGATGAGCATGATATATTAAAGGACCAGTGTTTAATATTTAGAGGCATCCAGTGGTGTATTTGCAGATTGCAGCTCCTTCACTTCATCCTCCCCTTCTAAGCACAAAAGAGAAACAACGGTGGCCAAGAAATGCCCAGAAAATGCAAACTGCCCTATATAGAGCCACTGATTTGTCAGGTTTGTCTCTTCTGGGATACTGTAGAAACATGGCGAACTCTGTGAAAAGCGACCTTCAGCGTCTGTAGATAAAAACAGCTTATTCGAAGGTAACAAAAACACAATACTAATTATTTCCATTATACACTCATGAAAACATACATATTAATATTATATTCCATTTCTGCCAATATATTCTCCAAATGTTAGACACTGGACCTTTAAATTCAAAGACGTGCGACTCAACTGCCAAAGCTATTGAACCTTCTTTCTTGTCAACTATACATGCCACATAACTCTGCAGATAGTGTATCAGTGAAACAAATATGTGTAGTCATGTGGTCTAACTTCTCTGACAGATGAAACAAAGCCCTTTTTTCATAATCCCCTAAGCCGTAGAAAATACAAAAGTCTGCATTTAGCTTATGGTATACACAGCTATTAGTCATATGTTAAACCGAATGCAGGCCCCTGTGCTTTACTGAAAGTGTTGCTGTTTGTTTTCACCACCACATATGCTTCTGCTTTTACATCATTTTCAAGATGACTATAAAACTGACTGCATGCGCCTTTATTGTTATATTTTCTCCAGTAGCAATCTCCACGGGTCGCTAAGGGCAGAGAAGATGTTGTGAAGAAAGCTTTTTTGATTTACACTCTTCTTGCTGACATTTTTACACAGTGAACAGAAAATACAGCAGGAGTCTGGTGTGAGGATCTCTGGAGTGGTGAGGGGGAGAGATACTTACCTATAATTTAGAACCAGGGTGTCTTGAAGGAAAGGCTCCAATAACCTGACTTATGACTCTAAAACTGCCCTGTGCGTCACACATGATTGAGGATCTAAAAGTGTGAAGAAATATTTTTCTTTCTACTGTTAATGATTAATTCTGTTAATATTATACTGCTGTACCACTTTTCAAATTTGGCAGTAGATAAACATCACTTCTCTTGTAATGATTTCCTCAAACTATGACAAGTTAGTCAGTTTCCTGTGTTTTCAGTCACAGTTGTTGTTGCCTCGAAACCAATGAAAGTGGATGCGTTGGGGAGGAGGGGGTGTATTAAGTTCACTTAAGGTTGCCCAAGGCCATCATTCAATTGTGCCTCAGCATTTTCTGCAGTTCCAGATAGAGTAGGGGGATTTTCAGGATTTACAATCTCTGAATTGTTATTAGTGGACAGCGGGTCCATCGTTTGTGAAGGGGACCCTGAGAAAAAAGGCTCTGGAGCGTCTCCGGTGCTTTTAACTTCAGGAACAACTACAGCAGCCCCATTGCTTTCTTGTGCATCATTTCCATCCACCTCTCGACCAGCTGTGCTCTCTTGACGTTTATTTCCGAATGTAGTACCTGCTGTCAAGTCTTCTAACTCTTCATCTGCTTCTGGGAGCAAGGACAACCTTTTGGACAGCCTCTGAGGCAGGAAGCTGGACAGAGAAATTCGGTTAGATGACCTCAGTGTTACCTGGCCATTGTCAGCTCCACCGTCTAGAAATGGCGAAGGGCCGGCCCATTCGCTAGTCATTATCTGCTGCCTCTGAAGCTTCCGTTTCTTTACATAGATGACCAGGAATCCTACCATCATAAACACCAAGGAACCACCTATTACCCCTGCCACTACTTTACTGTGGTTTGTTCCCTTTTTGTCTTTTGCGTTTTTTTCAGGAGGATGTTGTGTTTTCTTTGACTTGGTGATACGGGTGAATGGTTTCTTTGTCATGTCCATTGAAGTTTTGTATAAACCTGTGGACTTTGTAGCATCACCGCCTCTGACTGGGCTTGTACTTGCAGACTTGCTTTCAACAGTCTTAGTAGATGTGGTTGCATTAGAGATGAGGACTGTAGACCGTCTTGGATGTGTTGATGAATGAGTAATTTTGTCACTGGTGAGTTGGGAGGTTGACGTCTTTCCTGTGTCTTGGCCTTGGGTGGAGCTGCTCAGCACTCGAGGTGCCATTGTAGTTTTGGTTGGGTTGCTGACTTGGCTGGTTACCACCATTGCTGCCAATGTTGTGACTTTCAATTGTACATCTGTTGTGCCTACTGTTGAGCTGTTGTTGACTAACTGAGATGATATGGAATTGGTTGGAGCTGCTGCTGTTTGAATATTTGGTGAGAATGTAGAAGGATTTGTTTGAATTGTTTGCAGTGAAGGTTTCGTACTGGGTTTTGTAGTTTCTTTCTCTGTTGTAACTTCTGAGAGTTGATTTAAGCTGGATGCCTCCTGTGTTGTCAGCTGGCTGTGAGTGAACTCATTTCCTACCTCACCCGTCATCACAGTGGTGAGGTTGTCATTCTGGCCAGATGTCACTGTGCTGCTTGCTGTCAGTGGCAGCAACCATATGAAAACCAGGCTTAGGAAATCAATGGTCATTTTTTCTTCTATCCCCTGGTGCACTGTGCTGTCTTTGTAGCTGGAACAGAGGAAGTTGTTTTTTTTTTATCAGAGACGCACAGCAATACAGTCTGAAGCAATGCCCTCTAATGAGGAAATAGTTAATGGGAGTTTGAGCAAAAAAGTGTTAGGGTTGTGACAGCAACGTTTCCTCAAAATGCAACTTTAAATAGGCATATGTTTCAAGGGTTTGTACTGGGTATATTTAAGGCATTACAGTCAATGGTTTTTGCATTCATCGAGTGATCTTTGGTTACATGTTACAATGTTAAAATACCTTAAACTAAAGGAGATTTTCAGTAGAGCTTGCTTTGATTACTTATTTCTTTTTTTGTTTCAACTTCATTATCATTTCTCAATCAAAAATTGTAGTTGTGATTGATTCAGTTGCAGTGCTGAGACTGTTTTTGTCCATTAAAAATATACAAGTTGTATATAGATCTGTCATGCATGAAATTTTTTTATACTTTTGTGTGGATGCACCCATTTAGCATCAATCACATCTAACAACATGTTAGGTAGACCTAAAGCTACATTGATAATTCAAATCTACTCACCAGTGACTTTGCACCGATAGCCTCTGTAACCTGGTAGCTGTGTCGTTCCAGGATGAAGTAAATGTTCAATAGTTGTAGGGTCTTATGCAGTTGCCTGTCTGGCAGGATGTCTCTTGAATTAAAGCAGGAACTAGGGGCATAAATGGCTCTCTGCTGAAATGTTGACTGATTCTTGCCTCACTTACAGGAAGTGTGACATGTGAAACCTGATGACAGCCCTATGCATTTTCAGTCTATGCTAAAAATAGGAGTTCATGTTTCACACCAAGTCCTCTCTACATTAAAAATGCTTTTACAAAACACTGAATTGAACTCAATTTACATTTGTAGAAATCCACTATTTCCAGTAACTTGACTTGTATGATCAAAATCATTTCAACATGTAGGCACTTTTTGAAAATGTGCTCACTGACCGAACCCTGAACAAATTAGAAGCCATAAAGTCTTCCTTTTCTTTTCATGTTGACCAAGCCATTTTCCACTAATGGAGACAGAGGAACCAATTAAGCTGCTGCTCCCTATTTGGACAACCTTGCTCTTTGTTTCCTATAGGGATTATGAGTGAGACACATCTAAACTTGTGATGTGATTCTACATTTGCAAAGAAACTTTCTGTTTGATCACATAAAATACACTTATACATTTTTAAACACCAAATAGTTTTGCAGTTCCTCTTCATGTGTTACTATTGCTCATACAGCTAATGATGCAGTGAAAAGGCTGACAGTACTTTAATGTCTGCTGAGACACACTTAGACGCAGTCTAAACATTAACCTCAGTATTATTTGGCCACATCCAGTCTTAAGGATTGTCTGATAACTATAACAATAACTATAAAATAGGGCTGCATGATATGGTAAAAACATCACATTGTGATTATTTTGACAGATATTGCGATTGCGGTATGATTTACGATTAGTGTGGGAATGATAATTTTTGATGGCCTTTTTTTTCTCTCTCTCAATAAAAGATGACAACTCTTTGAGTGTTGGACTCCCCTCGTCTTTGTGAAACCATATCCTTCTGGTTTCTTTCTGTTTCTCTGTGCAACATACAGCAGCTCATCAATAATTATTGTCATAGTTGGTGTTTTAGGTGTGAATGACCCTTTAAGGCCAGAGGAGCTTTTATGTTCGTTCAAACCTCTGTTTCTACAGGTGTAATAGATCAGTCACATTTAGTCATGCACACAGGGAATAATACCTCTGGCTCAGAATTAAGTTACAATTATGCTTCAGTGCTTTTTTTATGATACAATCCCTAAAGAAGCTGATATAAATATAGCGATAGTGACTTGAATTATACACTAAGACATTGGCACAATGCAAAAATCCATTTATTTAAAACTGGCATTTTAACAGTCTCTTTTTCAGGTACACAAGCATAAAAAAAACAGTAGCATTAGAAAGTCTGCAGTACAGGTAAGAGATAATAGACAGCTAAACTGACAGAAGCATCAGAGATTTACTAATTAATATAACACAGACTGTTAGCAGAAATTGTACCCAACTCTCTGACCATTGTTATAACATGGTGTTGCCAGCACATGAGGTCCCTGGTGTGAGATCTAGGAATAGATCTTGGGAGTTCTTTGATACTTTAAAAGTGTTGATCTGCTTGTTGTTGGTTTGCCTTTTTGTCTGTTTCTTAAATTAATGTGTCCACTCAGTTGTGTTGTAAAATAAGACATTTCAAGCAGTCTTACAGTAAGTCTTGAATTTGTTAAGCAAGTGTGAAAAAATATGCAGCATGTTATATTAGATGTTTAAGTTAGACTTCACTAATTCTCATGAAACATGTAAAGAAAAATATACACCTTGATCTTTTTAAACGATAAGTTTGCCAAGAAGACACTTCAAATAACTCAAATATTCTCATTATTTTAACTAAAGTATTCTTTTTATACTAAATTTAGTATTCATGTACTACTTTCTAAACAGTATAAATATTTTGAATAAATTCCACTGATACTATCATACATCAAAACATATACAGACTAGATATTGAACCACAATACTTTTTTCATACTGACCAAAATGTATGTGGCATTGAGTATCAAACTAGATGCATTGTCAGATTTGTAAACTTGTTTACTTGTTCTTAGATCAGATAGTTCCTGATTAAAAGCATACCTTGACAGATTTAGACTCGATGCTATTAGATATATAACATTTGAGAACCTTGGCTTCCTTTGTTGAGTGAAAAAAGGGGTTTAGTTGAAAAATGTATTTAGAATTCTCAAAGAAATGCATTGAAAAACAATTTTGGTATGGGTACCATAACTCAAGTATTGTATCAACACTAATATTCCACATTTCAATTGCATTTTAGTGAGGTTTTCGTTTAATTCTGTGATGTGAAAAAACTGGAAAGAACATGAATTTAACCATAAGACATTAGCTGAATTGAGTGGTTGCTGTTTGTCTTGAGTGAAAGTTGCCGTGGTCAGGATAACTCCTTACACAACAAGGGGCATGTCCTCTAGATCCCTGGGGACCTCCAGACAGGAGTCCCTGGAGCTGGAGCTCGGCATCAGACAGTCCTTCTCTTCAGGATCAAAAGCCATTGCCATGGCCCCAGCCTCCTCCTTTCCCTCTTGTATTTCAGCCAGCCTTTCCTTTTCCACCTCGCTGTCTGCTCTCACCTCCTCAAGCATGACACTGGCATCACACGGCCCAACCAGTCCCCCGGCCTCCGGCCGTTCAGTGCCCCAGTAGCCCACACTGCTCACCAAGTCCATATTGGACCGGGAGGTTCGGGGGGCATAAACCCGGCGCTGAATGTGGCAGACCTGGCATGCCAGTACCACAATGGCAACCAGCAGGCAGACAATCAGCCCCCCTGCTGAACCTATAGCAATCAGACCCATCTCAGTGTCGATCAAGCAGTCGGCTCGAGTGCCATTGGTGTCTGTATCAGGAGAGTTTGTGTGGTCAATCGCTGTGGGACTAGACACCACAGCAGAGGTTGAGCCGTCACCATGATCATTTGTTGTGTTCGAATAAGTTAGCATGGTTGTAAGGTGTTGGTCTGCATCAGTAGGACAGAACGGCAGCTGGTTGAGCAAGAGAAACAGCCAGAGAGCAGTTCTGGTACCTTCCATTATGCTGAAATAAAACAAATGTTTTGAAAAGAGTAAATTCATTTTAAAAAAGACCTTCTTCATCACTTACAGCCTAAACTATTTAAGATGAATTTAAATCGAAAAGGTTTCACTTTAGATGTGATCAGAAAGAAGCAGCAGGATCTAGTTTTGACAATACTTACTTGAAGTTGTCTGATTTGGAGGTCTTGTTGGACAGATGCAGTGAGACACCTGCTGCAGTCAGACACTTGAGATGCTCTGAACTCACTTCCTGACCCCCTCTCTGGGTCTTTTTCTGCTCTGGTTATTTCAGGACCTCTGGTTTGATACCACAGATGCTTAAGAACTTACAAGAAATGAGAGACAAAAAGGAAATGCAGAAACCAAAACGGCATTCATTAGTGTCACGTATTATGCTATGAACTATTTTAGGCAGGGGCATGTGTACAAACATATAATGCACAATTTACTGCAGACGGCCTGAATTTTAATTTGTCCTTGTCTTTTTTTTTTTAAATCTCCTTCAGGTTCAAAACAGGCCAGATCAACGGTGACCTGCTCATCTACCATGTCCTCCTCACCCTCAAACCCTACTATGCCAAGCCCTACGAGATAGTTGTAGACTTAACACATGTAGGACCTAGCAATCGCTTCAAGACTGACTTTCTGTCCAAGTGGTTTGTGGTCTTTCCTGGTTTTGCCTACGAGAACGTAGCAGCTGTCTATGTTTACAACTGCAACACGTGGGTGAGGGAGTACACAAAGTACCATGAGCGGCTGTTAACAGGACTGAAGGGCAGCAAACGGCTCCAGTTCATCGACTCCCCTGCTAAGCTGGCCGAGCACATCGAACCTGACCAACAGAAGCTACCTGCAGCCACCCTGACCCTGGAGGAAGACCTGAAAGTGTTCCACAATGCCCTCAAGCTGGCCCACAAGGACACCAAGGTTTCAATAAAGGTGAAGATGCAACCATAGCATTCTGTACTAAAAGGTGCTGTATATTTTGACTGAAAGGATTAGATAAGCGAATAAGCCTTGGGTTTTCTAAAACAATGTATTATTCTTGCTGATCAGGTGGGCTCGACCGCAGTTCAGGTGACCTCAGCCGAGCGGACCCGTGTCCTTGGCCAGCCCGTCTTCCTTAATGACGTCTACTACGCCTCAGAGATTGAAGAGATCTGCCTTGTGGATGAGAGCCAGTTCACCCTCACTATGGCCAACCAGGGCACACCACTCACATTCATGCACCAGGAGTGTGACGCCATCGTCCAATCCATCATCCATATCCGGACACGCTGGGAACTGTCGCAGCCCGATTCCATACCACAGCACACCAAGATCCGACCAAAAGATGTTCCTGGCACTCTGCTCAACATTGCTCTGCTGAACCTGGGCAGTTCTGACCCCAGCCTCAGGTAAGTCCTGCAGGGCACGATTGTTTGACTTAGAAAAAACTGTTTTTCTGGCTCTAAAAGAAAAGAGGGTCGGATCCATGTTATTGAGGCACAGAGGATTTTTTTGCTAATCAAGCTTAAGGATGTGAGAATGCAAACGTAGGGGTAAAATCCATACTGTCATATCTGAAGCAAGCAAGTCCTATGCAGTGAAACCCTATCTGTTTGATGTCGTCTTATCATTCAATTTAAATTCTAGGGATAATGATTCAAAAACAATTCCTAAATTAAAAATCAATTCTTGAGCTAAAGGTCTGACTTTCACTCACCCACAAGTTCCGTGCCACAGTCAGTAACCGTCTCTAAATATTAATTTGTCCCTTCTTAATAGTACTATTAAGTTAACTATTATTAACTACCACTCCATTCTGCCTGATCAGTAATGAAATCCAACAGTGTGTCATTGCTTATTAGCAGACTGCCACTACGGATGCAGGGACTGACTTCTGGTCTTTCAAGCAGAACAATGAATTTTTCTAATTAATAATTATTACTAGTATTTTGTGTTTAATAAGAGTTGGGGTTTTTTTACCTCAAAGTTGAATTAAGTCATTAAATTAATAAATGCTTGCAACCGCTGCCTTTTTTGAAGACAGACTACAACTAACTCTACCGTGTACTTGCTTCAGATTGTCCAGGTGCAGAACTCTCTCACAATTGAGTTTCACCTTTTTTGTTCTGTCAACATTGCAATATTAACTAACATTTAGAAAATGGATTTTGGACAAGCTATTATTTCTGCCCAAATCTCTTAGTGACAACTGAGGAATAGTGAAACACTACTACTAGTACTACTCTTGTGCGGGCTTAACACCTCTGCTTCGTTGTCCATCCCACATCCAGGTCTGCGGCTTACAATCTGTTGTGTGCTTTGACCTGCACCTTCAACCTAAAGATAGAGGGCCAGCTGCTGGAGACGTCTGGCCTCTGCATACCAGCCAACAATACCCTTTTCATAGTCTCCATCAGCAAGACTCTGGCTGCCAACGAGCCCCATCTGACACTGGAGTTTCTAGAGGAGTGCATCTCAGGCTTCAGCAAGTCCAGTAAGTCTTAACTTGGGCTATTCAAAGTGCCTTTTTTGGAGGTTTATGCAAGATATGTTGTTGGGCACATGAGTAGATTAACTAGTAGGTCACATATTCTCTCAGCTGGAGTGGAAACTAGACTGCCCCCCATGTTAGACCAGAACTGACAATCTAAAAGCCCTTCTGGTAGCTCCTAGAGGCCATACTTATATACAGCTGAACCAAAGCAGTTTAGACCAAACCTCGGATGTTCAGAATCAGAATCTGAAATACTTTAATATGTTGTTATCCTTTAAAGCCCTGTGCTTTCACTAAGAAGACTAAGAAGGGTCTGTTAAAGGAAACTTTTAAGTTCTTGGAAGCACTCTAGGGTAGTTATGTAAAGTTATAAAAAAGCCATGCTGAATCCTTGTTTTTTCAAATAGTTAGTGCTTTTTACATTATGTGAAGCAGGTGTCATGTTGGCAGTGTGTCAGAAGGATTGCATTGCGCAGCAAAGCGCTAGATTAGTTGTAGGAACAGAGGAGAATTTTCTTTTCCACCGCAGCTTTTTAATATGCTGCTATTGTTACTGGTTTAGTTGATTTTCATAGTTGACCGTGGTTCTTCTGCTTGGGTTTATTATGATTGACTTGATTCTCTCAGTGCACACACATGTTGGATGTTCAACTCGTCCTCCCCTCCTTTAAAACGCCACACACTCCAGAAATGTATGTGATAACTACAGCTAGAACAAGCATAATAAACTTAATAAATGGTGATATGTGTTATATTGTGCTGCTTGTGTTAAATGAGATTCTACATTTCCCAATAGCATAATTTGGTGAGACCCTCTTCTGGTGGAGGGGCTCCATTCTCAATCTGGCTGCTCACCAAAACTTGGCTCTACACTCTCTAATAGTAGTTAACGCACTAATGATCTAACTGACTTTCTTTGTTTTACGCTCTCATGTTAATCTATGTCACTGTCTATCTACCCAAGCTCCCTGCAGACTCACCTCTTCTGTGTCTCACGAGCATAACCACGACCTGAAGCGACTATTTAAAAAAAAAAAAAAAAGATATTTATCCAAATTTTGCAGCAGAGTGCACTGCTCTCTTGGCAGAGCCAGCTCTCGTTTATAATCCCACAGACTCTCGCCCACCAACCCACTTTTCTAATCATGCCTTGGCCTAGTGCTGGCTGTGTTGTTTTTAAGTTTTCATGTTCTAAACATTTTATATGTTCCACAATGTTAATGTTACTTTTTGTTAGTGTTTGTAATGTGTTCAGAATATGTTGGTTGATGTTGGTAATGGTCATTTTTGTACTGGTTTATAGTTTTAGCCATTAGTGACATTTCTGAACCCAGTCGTCCATGCTGGCAGATCACTGAAGTGCTGCGAGGTAACTCTCACACTTACGTCACCCCTGGGGATTGGAAATCAGCAATCTCAAGTAACTGCGATTGGACGATATGAATGATATGAATGAAACAATCACACAACTTTATAAATCACTGATGATAAGAAAATCTCTAATTTCACCATTGATGTAACAGTGAACTATACCTGGCATTAAACCAGAGCGATGTTGTCTTTGTGTTGCAGGTATTGAGCTGAAGCATCTCTGCCTGGAGTACATGACACCCTGGCTGCTCAATCTGGTCCGCTTCTGTAAGCACAACGACGACGCCAAGCGCCAGCGTGTCACCGCCATTTTGGACAAGCTCATCACTATGACAATCAACGAAAAGCAGATGTATCCCTCTATCCAGGCAAAGATCTGGGGCAGCCTGGGCCAGGTGGGTCCACCACACCAGCAGCTTGATAGTAAAACGTGTTATTAATTTGACCTCTAACTTCCTCACTGTGTCTCCAGATAACAGACCTGTTAGATGTGGTGTTGGACAGCTTTATTAAGACCAGCGCCACAGGAGGCCTAGGCTCCATCAAAGCAGAGGTCATGGCTGATACAGCAGTGGCTCTGGCTTCAGGGAATGTCAAACTGGTCTCCAGCAAGGTGAGACTCTCCACTCTGAGCTAATACATGCTGGAATAATGTCTGCAGAGTTACCTGTGCTCAGAATGTTACTATGGATATATTTTGTTTATTGATGCAATAACACTTACGTCTTTGCTTTGTTTTTCACTAGAGCAATGCGTTTGTGAGCAAATACTAGAGCTATCATTCACTCATTTCATTTCATATCACTGCCGGTGTTGGGTCAGATTACTCTGTAATGTAGACAGGGACTAAATGCAAATTAGATACCATTTTTGTAATTAGTAATGTAATGCATTGGATTACAAAAGAAAATGTAAATGGCCGGAGCCGACCACATTGAGCTTCGGTTCCTTATAAACCTATGGGTGATGTCACGGGGGGTACATCCATTTTTAATTATACAGTCTTTGGTTTAAAAACAAAAATTGTTGTTTGAGAATCGATACAATATCACTACACAAAATATCAGAATACTCAAGTGTATTGATATTAGTCCTATGTTTGACTTACTCTAGTTTGTACCTCCTGTGCCACTTTTGAGCTTCTGCAAGGCACCCACAGCAGCTTGAGCTGAGACAGTGTATCGTTTGCCTTCTATTTTCATCCCAAACTGCAACAAAAAGCTCCATTTACATGTTCAAATGAATTCCACTGTCTTGATATTACATTTAGTTTGAATTATACTTTTCCTTATGTGCTGCATTCCATAACAGATGACTTAATGAATTTAACTGTTTAGTTTAGTTTCTGTACCAATTTGACACTTCTGTAAGAAATAAACATTGAATGTGATAATTACTTACTTACTAATGGAAAAATAAATCCAAAGTTGTAAATCACTCCTCACTTAGAGTATCCAAAGAGACAAATTCATCCACTCACTATCCATCATCTGTGTGCTTTGTATCCAAATTCAGCCTCCTACTCCGATAAACAAGCACAACATACACAGGCAGACACAATAGAAAAGTCAGGCCCTGGCTCCTATTATGGCACACAACAGCACTGCACTGAATAGTGGCCATTGTGAAGACTGTTGGCTAAGAAAAGACAGTCAGTGTTTAAGTTAAAGTGCTGCTCCCCTCATTGATTTTCTGTAGTTTAACCAAAGTGTTGAATTTAATTTAATATCAGGTTAACATGTGTAGGCTACATGGCTGTGGGAACATACATGAGTGTTTGTGCTGGTGTTGTCCACACAGTCGCTGTCTGATGTCATGGCAGGACAGTCTACTGAGCACAATGAAGCCTTGTCTGCTGCTCTTGAACTCTTTGTCACCCAAGAGTTGAATAAATGCTATTTTCTAACTTGTTATAACCATAGCCATATTGTCATATGTACCAGCTCCATATCCAGGAAGACATGCCCACTGTTGGCCACTGTAGATTGCCTCATTAGAGCCCTGTTTGTCAGGAAGTCTGTGACATGTTCTTAAAGGTTTGGCACATTAGATTGCTCAAAACATGTTTCACTACAACTGATGATATTTCATATGAGCGATACAGCTTTTGGAGAATGAACAGGTATAAGCTGAAGATAAACTAAAGCTTGCACTTGCGTTGGGTTGAATTTCAGTCATGGGTATGAAAGATCGATTGAGATGGCCTTGTTTAGCTTTTGCGGGCCCACAACCTGCTTTCATCAGCTTCGTTTCCACAGCAGCAAGTAGCTGTTTTCAGTGATAAACCTACTGTGCACTGCCTGCTCAGCACCAAATGTCAGACAGACAATAAGAGACTAGCTGGTGAACATAGTGAAGCCTTTAGCAGCTAAAGGGGTTCTAATATTAATTTTCCCATCAGCCACATCATTTTAAGAATGATATGAAAATTCTTTGCGGCAGGTTATCGGTCGGATGTGTAAGATCATAGACAAGACGTGCCTGTCGCCGACACCCACACTGGAGCAGCACTTGATGTGGGATGACATCGCCATCTTGGCCCGCTACATGCTCATGCTGTCTTTCAACAACTCCCTGGATGTTGCGGCCCACCTGCCCTACCTGTTCCACGTGGTGACCCTGCTGGTAGCCACTGGGCCGCTGTCCCTCAGGGCTTCCACCCACGGTTTGGTCATCAACATCATCCACTCCCTCTGCACCTGCTCGCAGCTCAACTTCAGTGGTGAGGACTTACTTCAGCTCTTTGATTAGGCCAGCACCACAGTGGAAGCAGAGACAGACAATTTAAGTAAAATAAAATGTTTGTTGTTCTGTTTCAGAGGAGACAAAGCAGGTTCTGAGGCTGAGCCTGACTGAGTTCTCCCTGCCAAAGTTCTACCTGCTGTTTGGCATCAGCAAAGTCAAGTCAGCCGCCGTCATCGCCTTCCGCTCCAGCTACAGAGATCGCTCCTTTTCACCGGGCTCCTACGAGAGGGAGACGTTCGCCCTGTCCTCCCTGGAGACAGTCACTGAGGCCTTACTGGAGATCATGGAGGTCAGCAGAGAAAATCAAGTGAACAGGACATCTGTTTTTTCACTCCTTCTCTGCCCACCAATGCATTTGTTTCATATTATAAAACCCAGAGAGTTGGGAGATATGGCAGAAAATCTTAATAAACATATCTTTATTCTGCGAAAACAATATATTCAGTTTGTTAAATTCTTAATTTGATTGTGGAAGAAAACAAAAGTAGTAGAAAAAGGCTGAAATGCAACAAGCAATTCTTAAAGGTTTTATATATGAAGTTAACTTGCCAGTGGAAACTAGAGCACTAGCATGAAAACAATGGGACAGAAATATAATAAAACTCAACAAAACAGAGAACAAATTCCTGGTCAAAGTATGTCCACGAAAAGTGCTTGTTTTTTCCACTGACAGGCTTATATTGTTATTCTCAGTGTCTGACAACATTATGGAAAGGATCCCTACAGAGATAGGCCTTTAGTTTAACCAAAACAGCTGTAATATCACTATCACTCTCCACCAGACTCCATACACAATCATTTTACCTTGCGTAACATCGTAACTTCATAATTATTCAAATATTCATTTATTCAAAACTTGATTTAACGTCAGAAACAAAATAAAATTCACCAAAACCGTCTTTGTTAGTCTTTCCACTGTTCTAGCAATCACCAACTCTGGTTTGGTGGAAATAAATGCACACGGAGCAGATGGACCGGCTATATAAACAAACCATTAAGAGGCTGCGATAATAGTTGTTGCTATTATATATATTCATGTTCTAAATCTCATATATACCCATTAATCTTTACTATCAATGTAAAACTGTTTATTAGCTAACTTTCTATGTGTGGGAGTTAACCAGCCAAATAGGCTGTCCCCTGTTCTTGACCTGCAGCTTACACTGGTCTGCAACTCGCTAGGTTTCCTTCAGTTTGTTTTCTCTGTGTGGTCTTCCCTCCAGGCATGTATGAGGGACATCCCAGCCTGCAAGTGGTTAGACCAGTGGACAGAGCTGGCACAGAAGTATGAACCTCCTTCATCTCATTTGAATGTATCTGCGTTAAGACCATGAATGTGCTCTGTGGAACTTATGTGTTTGTGTCTGGATTCTAGGTTTGCATTCCAATACAACCCGTCCCTCCAGCCCAGAGCACTGGTGGTGTTTGGCTGCATCAGTAAGAGAGTGAGCCACGGCCAGATCAAGCAGATCATCCGAATCCTCAGCAAGGCCAGCCCACTGCTGAGCATAGACCGGGTGAGAGCACACTCATACAAGCCCCTACAAACCTGTGCTGTTAACCATAACCATGTTTCAGTTCATTTCAGTACCAAATTGATTGTTATCTGGAGATTTCCATTTCCTTTGCATGTGTATAGTCAACTTTTTGCAACATGGAAAACACATTTTTTCAATAAAGAAATTAAATTCATAGACAACCTATCCAATGGAAGGGAGACACCCTGTCTGACTTTGGTAAACTTACAACACACCATGTGATTAGACCCTGTTAAATTGTTTTTACATTGTTTGTCTGCAATAATTCATGAACTAAGTTATATGATTACCAGTTGTTCCCCCAAAGGTCAAAATTTTAAAAAGCACAATCTGGATAAAGTGTACATCAGTAATATTTTGAAATGTGAAACAGATGGTATTGGGCATGGTATTAGGCTTGTTTTTAATCAATTTTCATTATTTTAAACAAAAACTTTCTTCCAGTGATTTTAATAAATGTTAGTTAGTATTGCTTATATTGATGTTTGCAACAGCAAATCAGTCGCTTTTCACTGATGAATATTTATTTATATAATGTTTCCTTTTCTCTGCCTCTTGCTCCTCTTCCTCCTCTCACTTCCCTCCTCGTCACAGGGCCTGGAGAGCTGTCTGAAGGGGCCAGACAACTACAACAGCCAAGTACTAATAGAGGCCACAGTTATTGCTCTGACCAAGCTGCAGCCTCTACTCAGCAAGGTACACGGCCATTGTATCCATCAGAGTCCAGACTATCAAGTCATCTCCATTGACACTGACTAGGCCACACTAAGTCAAACCATGCCGCAGAGATTTGTATTTATATGCTATATATGTAGCCATTTCCACTTTCTGTAGCAACTTTACAGGTGTAGTTTGTGAGCAGGAGAAAAGTACCAGTCTTCATATCTGGTCTTGGATTCTTATTTACAGTTGTTTACAAAGTGGAATATCAATGCTATGCTAAAGTACTGAAATACGTTAGTTGTAAATTAATAGTCAGCAGTTCAGTAGTGATTCTCCACTCATCCCTTCATTGTCATATTTAGAATTTGTTTTTTTATGTTGTTGACAAGCCCACCCTGTGTCTGTCTGCAGGAGTCTCCCATGCACAAAGCTCTGTTCTGGGTGGCGGTGGCTGTGCTGCAGCTGGATGAAGTCAACCTTTACTCAGCTGGAACCGCCCTGCTGGAGCAGAACCTCCACACTCTGGACACAATGCGCGTCTTCAATGACAAGGTAAAAGACACACTACGCAAGCCAGAAAACACAAGGTCTCCTCTGATCTTCCATTCCCACAGTTTAATGCTGTGTGAACTAAAAGCCAACACACTTCTTAACACATTCTTATTTAGGTTTGGACAGGCTGCACTGAGAGGTGTTAAGGATACATGTGACAGTGTATTTAAAAAGTAGCTTCACGCTAAATCCATACACAGTCTCTTTCTTATACTATCATTTGAGTCCGATCCCACTCTATTGTGTTCATTGCAATGGTATGTTTGACTTTTTCTCTAGAGAAAGTAATACAATCCTGCATTGGAGAGCAGCTCAACATAACTACTTCTTTGATGTTAAATAACTTTACATAAACTGAAGGTATTACTCTTTGCCAGCTGGCAAATTAAATACATTGAATTGTGTGCAGTGGTCATCATTCACTGTTTATTGGCGAGTGTTGGGAAGGAAAAGCATCACAACGTCAGAGATCCTCATCCATCGTCCTTCATGCTGTGCTGAAAACACGTATATGACTGACCTCACAGAGACACTTGCTTTTTTTCTTGTTGACAACTAGTCAAGAACTCTGTCCTTGTATCTACATGTATATGTGCACAATGCAATAAAGTTAAAGCCAGAGTCCAACCTGAGCCCAGTCTATAAGAGACTATAAAAGATTTTTATTTTTTTGGCCTTCTGTTGGCTTTATTTATAGAGACAGCTGTAGAGAGACAGGAAAGGTGGGTGGAGAGAGAGAGGGTTGACACGCAGCAAAGGGCCGTAGATCGGATTCGAACAGCGGCCGCTGCAGCAACTCCATATATGGGTCGCCAGCTCTACCGACTGAGCTAACCGGGCGTCCAACAAATTTAATTTTGGACAGGCTTGCAGACCTCTACTGCACAGCAGCCCTAAACAAATTGATACAAATTCTATAACGTTGCATGCCATGCCCCCATGATTGCAGATGTGTATTTATAGTAAAAGAAAATGCAACGCCCCTTTTAACACTAACTAAGCACTGACTTAGCACTGACTTATCTTGAAGAGGCTGACTATGTGCAAAAAAGTGGGTTGTGCCTCTGACAGTGAATGTTTTTAAAATTACGAAATGACCTGAGACAGTTTCCTCATACCACTCTTGTATCAATATGTTCCTCCAGAGTCCAGAAGAGGTGTTCATGGAGATCCGGCGGCCTTTAGAGTGGCACTGTAAGCAAATGGATCACTTTGTGGGCCTCAACTTCAGTGCCAACTTCAACTTTGCACTGGTGGGCCACCTACTCAAAGGTAAAGCAGCCACTGATAGTGTGGGTTCTGTGGTATCAGTGGGCTACATGTTCAAATATGTAGAGAACACACAATGACCAGTGAAGAGTAAAAACAAAGATGAATTTGATGTCAGTGTGATTAAAAGTATGCACATAGTTCAGTTCAGCTGCAGGGTTTCAGGAAGGAAGTCCGAGGCAGAATAACGCCGAGCAGAAGTACTGTATGTGCCAAAGACATCTGGATCAGTGACTTGTCTCTGACTGTCTGTCTTTATGTCTTTACTTGCATCACCAGGCTACAGACACCCATCACCCACCACAGTAGCGAGGACAGTGAGAATCCTGCACACACTGTTGGCTCTCATCAGCAAGCATCTGAAATGTGACAAGTTTGAGGTCAACACCCATAGTGTGGCCTATCTGGCTGGTATGTAACACACTCAGCGACATGACTTTTATACATTTCAGCACTCAGCTCTCTCTCTCTCTCTCTCTCTCTCTCTCTCTCTCTCTCTCTCTCTCTCTCTCTCTCTCTCTCTCTCTCTCTCTCTCTCCTTGGAGCAGGGTGTGTGTGTGTTCTCTCTCCCCCCTCTCTCTCTTACTTGGACGGGGCGGGTCCCCTTGCATCGCGGTGATATCATAGCGCAACCCCCCCTCAAGAAGAGCTTTAATGATGAGATATGTTTTATACGTAGTTGAATATTAATTGTGTTAACGTTTATCATGTACCAGACAAGTGCACCGTGATGCGTATATGGTGATCTTTTACATTTCTTTTCACAAACACCAATAATGTCTTTGAAACTCCTCTGTGTGGGGTAAAGAGTTTGATCTGATTTTAGGATTATTTTGCTACTGTGTGCAATAGTGTGTGTCATTATTTTATTTATGCTTAAATCTTTATTTTCAGAATTTATTTTCACCTTTTAATGATGTAAAATTGGAGGGAGCAAAAGTAGTATCGGCTCCAAATATCGGCTCAGAAAATCGGCAGTCCGTATCGGTGATCGGCTAACAGCTGGTGAAAAAAAATCGTATCGGCATCGCCCTAAAAAATCCGTATCGGTCTATCACTATTTGAAAGTTGATTGTTGACTCTTACTGCCAGGGCATCTATATTTGATGCGTTGGGAATGAGACTCAACAATCAACTATCTTTATCGGCCCTGATTGGTTTCGAGCACTAGGAGGAGCCAGAGGAACCTGACCGTTTCACAGATTGTCAGTCTCCTGTACTACTGTCTGGGTATAGTGAAAGTTTCAACAAATATGACAAAAAAAAATTTTTAAATTTAAACTGCAGCTTTGACAAATATCGCGCAAGTGTACAAACCATTACGTGTTCTTGGTTATGGTGATTCGGTTGGTTTGGATCTGCCTTTTTGACGTTGATGACCTCGATCCCTTGTTGTTTTGTGCAGCACTGCTCACTGTATCCGAGGAGGTCCGAAGTCGCTGCAGCCTCAAACACAGGAAGTCACTACTGATTTCTGACCTCTCCATGGACCCGGTACCGATGGACACTTATTCCAGTCACATCACTGATCCCAGCTGCAGGTGATGAACAGACAATGAAGTTGTCCAATCAGTCCACAACAAAAAAGGCAGACTAGTTGAAATTCAGTCTAATGAGCATGCTCACTTTAAGAAGCAGACCTCTGTTTTCTTTTGTTTATCACAACAAAATGCAAGCTCAGGATGCTTTCTATCGCTCCTTAACAAGAACTTGGCACAGGAATTTTGCTTTCTTAAGTTCTAATAAAAGGTTGTTTAGAGGTACTTTGTTCTCTATTATCCTTTGTCCACGTTTTAAATGAGTCATCAAGTTGTCTGCTGTGACCTGACGTCTGTTCACTTTCCTCTCAGAACTCTACAAGAGACTCAGCCATGGGCATCACCTCAGGTTTCAGAGCGCTACCTTTCAGCCCATCACTACCCCACGGTGGGCCAGATCAGCCCTCGAACACGCAAGTCCATGAGCCTGGACATGGGTCAGCCCTCACAGGCCAACACCAAGAAGCTCCTGGGTATGATTTATCCCTTTGCTACATGCAGCACATATTGATCTTCTCTTGGGAGAAGCATTCATAAATAGAATCCCTATTTGATGTTTCTGCCAGGCACCCGGAAGAGCTTTGATCACCTTATATCGGACTCTAAAGCACCAAAGAGACCAGAGATGGAGTCGGGTATGACCACCCCTCCCAAGATGAGGCGTGTAGCAGAGAATGACTACGAGATAGGTGAGAGCCCGACCCTCACATTCCTTTCTACGTATAATATGAAGCAGTCTGTTTGAGGAGGTATTTAATGTAAATCCTCAATGCTCTTATTACAGAGACACAAAGAAACTCGCACCTTCGCAAGGTGTCTGTATCAGAGTCTAATGTTCTGCTGGATGAGGAGGTGCTGACTGACCCAAAGATCCAGGCTCTGCTGCTCACTGTGCTGGTGAGGAAACACACCACACAGTCTTCAGTTCACTTTAGTGGAACATGACAGATTGTCTTTGGATTTACTTACTTCTTAAATTACTGTTTTGGTTCTGATTTTCCAGGCCACCCAGGTGAAATACACCACTGATGACTTTGACCAGCGAATTCTGTACGAGTACTTGGCTGAAGCTAGCGTTGTCTTCCCAAAGGTTTTTCCAGTTGTGTAAGTAGCCATCATACTGCCATTCTCTCGGTTAGGATGTATTCTGTGCTATAGGACTTTTTCCATATGTTTCTTGTCCAACTGGAAATATTGGCAGTTCTTTTTATAGTCTAATGTAGGGGTTGTCACAGGTACACTCGGTTCCTTGTAACTGAGACCCGACCCTGGGTGTGATTGGAAACTGATCCAACACATCTTTGGTTTTAAAAGTGAAATAAAAAAAACTACAAAATTAAAGTTAGCCAGGCTGATTCTGGAATAAGAGTAATGTTTCTCTGGTAAGAAGCAGTTACAACTGCTGATCAGCATTTCCATGGTTACAGTTTGTGACAGATTCTGACAAACAAAACAAATAACAAAAAAGAGTAAAACGTGGCTCATAATTTGTGATGTTGTGGAGCTAGTGATGAGAAGGGAAAGAGTTTTTTGCTTTGTGTCCCTCGTCTGAAGTAAAATGTGCTGTGTCTGTTGAATTCTTCCAGAAGAATGCTGGAGTGAATGTGAACGTCAGCCATGTTTAATAGCCTGAAAAAAGTATTGATTTCCACAAAGTTCATAGAAAATTAGTCCCACTTAAGATCAACCTCTATAAAGAGATATCTGTAGGCAAGATACAAGATTTTGCTGTTCTGGTTTCCATTTGTAGTCCAAATAGTATTGACCAATCATGTTTGAGCAAGCTTTGGTTGCATCCCGTGTGGAGAGCCAAAGAGGCAAACACATTGGCTGAAAAGGAATCTTGGAACCGATCATCTGATTTAGCTTTTTATCACCTTGTTTTATCATTTATTTATCTGCATTCATATCTGTTTGTAGAGATTAGCCGAAATGTAACAAAAATCTGAAATAATCAACTCCAACTCTATTCTCGCGTCTCAAGTTGCTAATTGGACTGTAAACGATGACTGCCGCACTAAAGAGGAAGAGGAAGTCTGAGACGTTGGCTGTTGCCCTCAGAGGCTAAATTGCCATCAGACGATAGCCGATGTGTTAAGATAGTGAAGAACTAGACCGCTTTGTGCAACAGTTGAATTTAAACAAACTATCACCGTTAGTTGGATCAAAGCCATAAACAAAACCTGTCTTTGTGAAACTGAAAACTTATTGTGTTTTGTTTGTTTTGAAAATAAATTTGTGCATGAGTTGAGTTTGGTCCATGGGTTTGCTCCTCTGTCTGTCTCTAGTCTAGTGCAGATGTAAAGGCTTTGGAGAGTAAATGGCAAATAGCGGAGCTGCTGCTGAAAAGGTGACACAAGGAGACATTGTGTCAAACTGTCAGTTTGAGACAGAGAGTTTAGTAGAGCCAGATATAAACCTACTTTATGTACCTCGCTGTGGTATTCAAAGATCCCTGTGGGTTCTCAGGTTGCTGCATCAACTGTAAATATCAAAATATAAAAATACCTGTGCTGTTACATTAGGTAGTAAGTCTCATTTAGTCACAGTTGCAGCTGTCAGCCAGTTTTCATACAGACTTAACAACAGCTGTTTGTGTGTGTCTCCACTGCAGTCACAACCTGCTGGATTCCAAGATCAACACTGTGCTGTCCATGTGCCAGGACACCAACCTCCTGAACCCTGTCCACGGCATCGTCCAGAGTGTGGTGTACCATGAAGAGTCACCCCCCCAGTACCAACCCTCCTATTTACAAAGTAATACACGTTGGCATTTGCAAATTCTTTATAGGCCAAGTATGTTAAGTCCACTGCTTGTACAGTCGGGACATAACTTGTTGTCTCTCCTAAAGCTTGGACAGTTAAGTGGATAAGAGCTCTGTGCTTCTGTTGTAAGCATTTTCACCCTCACTCCCCTGTCTTCCATTTCACCTCCCCTCCTCCCTCCTTCACTTTCATTTCACAGGCTTTGGCTTTAATGGACTTTGGAGGTTTGCCGGACCCTTCTCCAAGGTACGAATGATTCCTTCCTCCTGTCATTTTTTCATTTTCCCTGAGGCACCTTGGCTGCCACGCAGGAAATATTTAGCTTACTAGGCAATTACACGACAGTTCTGCAACCAGCCTGCCAATTGGTACTGTGATATATGAAGCATGTGACACACACACACACACACACACACACACAACCCAGCAGTAGCCGAGAGGCTGCAGATAATTTCAAGTCAAGTTTTCAGTTGATACTGAATCTAGCAGCTGTTCAACACACTGTGTGACCCATGTATGTAACAGGTGGATGAATAAATAATGTATTTTTTGAATACAATTGAATTGAAGAACATTAAACTAGACACGACACCATTCATTACATAAGTTACAGCCAGACTCTTCATCCCACTCTTTATCTCTTCATGAGTTAGTATTTATAATGCAGAAACATCCTGGGTACGATGCTGTGAAGCATGTATAGAAAAGTTGTTGACATCATTTGTATTATTTATGACAGTATTACACTATATACACCAGGGCTATTCAGCGACATTTGTCCAAGGGCGAGAATTTTTCTAGGCCGACACTGTTTGGGCCGGATTATTATGAAAAGTTAAATAAAAACTTTAATTTAGGCCTAATTGGGCTATTATAATATTTTCACTTTCTTATAAAAATCAGTGTGAACAGACTAAAAAACATGGAAATCCATAATGATAAGTAGATACTGAAATATGAAATACTCTCAGACCTCCACCAAGGAGACAGCTCAGATTTGATGTCTCTAACTGCAGGCATAATATATTAATCAACTTTAATCGGTTTTGGAGCAATTATGCAGTTACACGGTTATCGTGCCTGTGTCAACTGTAGTTAAATGTGGTTTAATCCTACATCCTACATAAATACTGCAGTACTTTCATCAGTCACCATTCTGCGTGCTGGATGGGAAGCTTTGGTAGCCTGATGTGGTCCACAGGCCCAGATAAGGTGTTTGTGTTACAGTGGTTCTACATGAACCATTGGGTTACACATCTGATCATCAGCAATGTTTACACAGTCTACATTGTTGTTATTGTTGCTGGGCTCTACCAATCAGTCTAACATGCATGTTTCATCTTCTCTGTCCTCCCCCACACACACACCTGCTAACCATGCAGCAAACACAGATCCCGGACTACGCCGAGCTGATCGTCAAGTTTCTGGAGGCATTGATTGACAGCTACCTGCCGGCGGCTGACGAGGAGCGAGGGGAGGAGCAGCTGAGGACGCCCACCTCCCCCTACCCCCCCACCAGCCAGAGCCAGCTCAGCATCACTGCCAACCTCAACCTGTCCAACTCCATGACCTCACTGGCCACTTCGCAGCATTCACCAGGTCTCTCTCTTACACACACACACACACACACACACACACACAACACACACACACACACACATCCTAGTGTTACTATATTCACAGGGACCTTCCGTTGACACCGTCCACATTTAGTAAAACAAGCCCATACACACACAGACACACAAGCTCCTCCCATGTTTTCTGTCCCTGTTAACACTTCTGACTCAAGTCTACAAATGCAGCAAGAAAGGAAGTCAGTTGCTTATCCAACAGCATGCCCTGTTTTATAAATTACACATCAGATGATTTAAATGACCTAAAATGTGTCTGTTTGTCTTATTGGACATCAGTAGACAATCAGTATTTCAGTGCAGTGTTAAACAAGAATTTCTAATAATTGAATTACTTAAATTACTGACAAAAGTGTTACCTTTTAAACAAATGAGTCTACAGCAGTATAAACTCTTCTTCATCCTCAGCTGCTTCAGTTATTCTGCTACAGTCAACAGACATACAGACCGACAGACCCAACATCAGTTGGCTACCTGTACTGTTTAAGAATGTAACTGACCATTGACAGTGTACAATTAGTCGACAGAGTTTCCAACATGGAAGTGTCTTCATCCAGTTTTCTTTCTAATGTCCAGAAGGAAAAACTTCTTGTTAGTGATAGTACTGAGTCTTATGGAGAAAATGAGTCGCTAATCGGTAAATGGTTTAAAACGGACGCTTTTACACTACGCTGCCTACACTCAACACACATTCACTCACTGATGGCAGTGGGCTGCCATGCATCGGTGCCAAACTGGTCACCAGAACGGCAATTATCTGAATCTTCATACACACTCAACTACACTGGATGGCACGCATTCGGAGCCAATTTGGGTCAGTGTCGTTGCTCAAGACACTTCAACATGCATGCGGAGAGGAGCCGGAGATCAAACCGCCAACCTTCCGATTAGTGGACTATCTGCTCTACCTCTGAGCCACAGCCACCTACTCCTCACTATTAGCTCACTAAACAGTTTCCAAATGAGTTTAGGGTCTCAGTCTCTAGTTTCAAGTCTTCTTCCATACAGCATGATGTTCATTTAGTAAATATGGTCCGTCCAGCTCAACACACCAGACTCAGATCAAACTTTCAGACTAGACAGTGCTGATCAAATATGAAGATTCTGTTCATTGACCATTTCTCTCCTAAAATATTTTATAAGAACTTGTCTGACCAGGCGAACCACCATTGTTTCCTGCTACAGACGGGTTGAAACTAAGGGGCAGTCCACACGATTAAGTTTTTTTCGAATCCGGATAAATACTTTCGTATCAGCCTCGCGTCCAGATGGATACGGTGTTTTCGGGGTGTGAAAACGGTATTTTTTGAAAACGGGTCCCAGAGTGAGAAAATCCGAAAACGGCGGATTGCCCGGAGTCGTCTGGACGGCGAAAACGGATTTTTTCCGAAACGATGACGCATTAGTCCCACCTCTCTAGCCTTTAACCTCAGCCGCCGCCGCCGCTAGACGACCATGATCGTCCTCTTCTCGTGTTATGAGCTTGTTTGTAAA